TAAAAATAAAATGAAAAAAAATTTTTATTAATAAAAGACTAGGGCTGGGCACGGTGGCTCATGCCTGTAATCCCAGCACTTTGGGAGGCTGAGCTGGGCGGATTACGAGGTCAAGAGATCGAGACCATCCTGGCCAACATGGTGAAACCCCGTCTCTACTAAAAATACAAAAATTAGCTGGGTGTGGTGGCACACGCCTGTGGTCCCAGCTACTTGGGAGGCTGAGGCGGAAGAATCGCTTGAACCCAGGAGGCGGAGGTTGCAGTGAGCCGAGATTGCACCACTGCACTCCAGCCTGGCAACAGAGCAAGACTCTGTCTCAAAAAAAAAAAAAAAAAAAAAAAAAAAAAAAAAAAAAAAAACTAAAACGAGAAAAATGTAAGAGATTGAATATACTGGAAGTGAAAGATTACTTAAAAGGTGAGAACAGCTGGTGTAGGGGCTGAGCATGGTGGCTCATGCCTATAATTTTAGCACTTTGGGAGGCCAAAGTAGGAGGACCAGTTGAGGCCAGGAGTTCAAGACCAGCCTGGGCAATGTAGCAAGACCCCATTTCTTAAAAAAAAAAAAAACTAGCCAGGCATGATGTGCATGCCTGTAGTCCCAGCTACTGGGGGAGGCTGAGATGGAAGAATTGGCTGAACTCAGGAGTTTGAGGTTACAGTGAGCTGTGATTATGCCACTGCACTCCAGCCTGGCTGACAGAGTGATACTCTGTCTCTGAATGAATGAATGAATGAATGAATGAATCACCAGTGGAGGAATTGGCCCAAACAGGAGAGAAGTCAGCTACTGTATTATAACGGAAAGGGAGGGCCAGGCACATTGACTTATGCCTGTAATTTCAGCACTTTGAAAAGCTGAGGTGGGAGGATCGCTTGAGCCCAGGAGTTTAAGACAAGCCTGGGCAACATGGCAAGACCCTGTCTCTACCAAAAAGGAAAATTAGCTGGGCATGGTTGTGCGCACCTGTGGACCTAGCTACTTGGGAGGCTGAGGCTGGAGGACTGCTTGAGCCTGGGAGGTCGAGGCTGCAGTTCACCACTACTGCACTCCAGCTTGGGCAGCAGAGTGAGACTTACACGCACACACACACCTCTCTCTCTCTCTCTCTCTCTCTCTCTCTCTCTCTCTCTCTTTCTCTCCCTCCCCCTCCCTCCCTCCTCCCCCCTGCCACACACACAGAAGGAAGATGGGGAATATGATGAGTCAGTTATGTATGTATAGCTTTTTATATCTAGTAGTAGAAAATTGAGAGTTCGTGTCTGATGGCTTCTACTTTATGAAATAGATGGCAAGGTCATCTGCTGCAAGAGGGGTTGTGAGAAGGTCAAAATCTTGAAAAGATTGCAAAGGAATTTAAATATTTGATACCAAGAGCGGAAGCAGTGCATACGAAGCTGTATAGGGTTGCCAGGTAGTTTTGAGGGCCTAGTTGAGGTTGGTGATGTGAATTTGGACTAGAACTGATAATGCACCATTGTTTGACTTTCTGAATCCATGTTTGGCCATATGCTCGCTGAAAGAAAGTAGGTAGCTTATTTAATCCAGGGTTTTGCCTTTGCTGTTGAATGTGACAAGGTGGAAGGGCAGGCATGCTAGGGTACTGTGAAAAAGCTTGAAGTGTTGGACCTAGAATGCCTGATGAAGTACTGGATGAAGCCTGGATAAGAAGGGATGAGCCACAGTCTCACTGTTTTCCACATTGGACCCCTCATCTTTTTTCTTATGAACCATGTATCGATGACTGCAAAGGGCCTGAGATCTTTACCTACTTACAAGCTAATAAATGAACGTGTTACTGTTTCATGAGACTCCATGGTTGGAGACAAAATACTTCACAGTGAGTAGCATGGTGTGACGCTGCTTTTTGTGTTGATTCCCCATGTTCCAGTGCCCACAGGGTGACACAGGTAGGCCCAGATGGATGCTGCACATGCACTGGATTTGCATCAGAGCCTATAGACACTGAGCTTGGGGGTTTTACCACTTTTACAGTGAATAGAAGCCATTCTGCTCTTTGTTTCATGAGGAGACGTTGCCTTATTCCTTGAGGTTGCATGTTGCAAAACAACCCTGAGAGATGGCCCAAGTAACAGCCACTAGGGACTTGTATTCTTGGCATTTCCAGCCAGAATGTGCAAGAAGTCTCAGGGTCTGTGACCGATGGCCTCTCCCAATAGTGTCCTGTTCCACAGGGTCGTGGTGGTGGTTGAGGGAACTGCTTTTTTTTTGTTTCCATTTCTATTCATGGCACCTCCATCCTTAGGGGCACTCAGCCTGAAGTTCTCATTCATTTGGTACGGATCATAGTCTATCCAAGTAACTGTTATTACAGGTAGCTCCTGCTTTAGAAGGTCACTTGTATGTGTGTGTGGCTTTGGGGGTGGGACAGCAGTAGGGTGCGTGACAAGTAATTTTGAATGCATTTAAAAGCTCTAAGACCCAGGCTGGGCTCAGTGGCTCATGCTTGTGGTCCTAGTGCTTTGGGAGCCTGGGGTGGGAGGGTCGCTTGAGCCTGGGAGTTCAGGACCAGCCTGGGCAATGTAGCTAGAACCGCATCTCTACAAATAACAACATCAATAATAAATGCAAATTTAAAAAGAGTTTCAAGGCCCTCTGGGGTCTCTTGATAGTTTTTTCTAGTATGTCAGCAACTTAGTAGGAGACATGTAAACTAGTTCTGCTTACCCATAATTTTTTGGGATCCAAAAAATAAAGAGGTATCAAAACCAATCAGGGTTTCTAGGACTTTTGGGCTAGGGATATCTCAAGAATGGTCAGCAAGGGAAGCTAAGGTTGTGACTTTAAAGAGCCTGCATGCTGCTTATCTTCAGTTCAACAGGATGATACTCCATACCGCTATGGTCTATCCAGTCTGGCCCGCTCTGAGAAGCATACTAAATTGTTAAACACCAGGGAATGGTTAAGACTCATAAATAAAAGGTAGAAAATCTGGATAAACAGAGAAATATACCACAATATTACATTGGAAATGGAATATTAGAATGATTTTAGTTCTCAAACTGTTTTATACTTTAATGCCATTCCAGTCAATCCCAATGAATTTATTTTTTAATTGGACAAAATAAATACAAATTGAATTCTGAAAGAATAAACAGATACTGTTTTTTTTTTAGTCTGAACATAATAAACAGATATTTGTACCATAGTTGATGTGATGATTATAAGATAGACTCCAAAACCAAATTCTTGCTCATGAGGGGAATCAATCTTTTATAGGAATTTGGACTTGGGACAGTCATTTTGGGCTATAATCTCAACCTAAAAAGATTTAAACTTGGATTTTGTACTTAGGGGAGCAGAGAAAGTTACTCTGTAGAAAGAAAAAAACAAGACATGAAGAGAAAAGAGGACAGGTAGAGAAAGAATACTCCTAGTTTCTGGCTTCTATTGTCTTTTTGAGGTAGTAATAGTCCTGTCTTTTAGTTCTGTGATTCATCCTAAATCCTTAGAATGAATATTCCTTTGTTAAGCTATTTCAGGTTGCTTTATTTACTGGAGACTAAAGTATCTTAAGTGATGGGGATACAACAAAGAATAAAGCAGAGACCCTACCTCAAGGCACTTTACATCTTTTTTTTGTTTTGTTTTGAGACAGAGACTCGCTCTGTCATTCAGGCTGGAGTGTAGTGGTGTCATCTCAGTTCAGTGCAACCTCCACCTCCCAGGTTCAGGCAATTCTTGTGCCTCAGCTTATTGAGTAACTGGGATAACAGTCATGTGCCACCACACCCGGTAATTTTTGTATTTCTGGTGGAGATGAGGTTTCACCATGTTGGCCAGGCTGGTCCTGAACTCCTGGCCTCAAGTGATTCACTCACCTTGGCCTTCCAAAGTGATGGGATTACAGGTGTGAACTACTACATCTGGCCCTTCACATCTTATCAGAAAGAGACCACAAATAAGTAAATACATGCCAGATGGTGTTGAGTGTTATAGTGAAGAAAAAGATGGGGTAAGAGGAGCATGTTTGGGTGCATTCATGCTATCAGTAAAGGTCCCACTGAGAAGGTAACATTTGAGCAGATGTAAGGGAGCAAGTGATTAAAATATCAGGGACGAGAGCTATCCAAGCAGAGGCAGGAGCAAACGCAAAGACACTGAAACTGGGGCCTGCCTAGTGTGTTCAAGGAACATCAGAGAAGCCTTTGAACAGCTTGAAAAGTGTGAGAGTGATAGGAGTAGTCAGAGGGGTGTGTGTGTGATGATATAGGGCTCTGTGGGTCACAATAAGAGTTTAGTGGAATGGAAAACCACTGGAACATTTAAAGTGACTTGTATTTTAAAAGGATGTCTAGTTGCTCTAACTAGACCAGAGAGTGGTCAAGGGCAATAGAAAGGGGACCAGGTGAGAGATAATGGTGGTTTGGACCTAGACAGTAGAAGTGGAGGTAATCAGAATTAGAACCTGGCTAATTTTTTAAGGAATAACTGACATGATTTGCTAATAGATAAGATGGGGAGGATATTATTAAACAGAGAAGGATTGCTCCCAGATTTTTAGCTTAAACAATTGTAAGTAAGGATGGACTTGCTGTTTCCTATGATGGGTAAGGCTTGGGGGTGGGGTGGGCTTCAGCTTTGAAGTACTATCCAGGTACTATGAAGTACTTTGAAGTACTATCCAGGTAAGTATGAGGTGCTATCCAGACATCCCAGTGGAGAGTATCTTGGTGCCCTCCGAACTATTGTAAAATATTTCTCACTGGACTCCATTTTGGTACTAATTCCCCGTAATTCAGTCTTGAATACTACAACTTGGAATTTCTCCTCCATCCTCTGATCATGTTCTTGTATAAAATCCTTCAGTAAATAACCTCAATCTATATTTACTAAGCATCTTTAAGTTCTAGTGATAATTGACCACCTCAGTTGAATTTCAGAAGGACCAAAAAGAAGTTATATGTCAGTATTTTAAAACTAGATTAAGATGTAAATAGAGAACTAAATCTTCCTCTGTCTCTACTTTTTAACAGCTGTTTTCACTCATTAACTCCTGAGGTAAACAGATTGAAAAGATGAGCGAGCTGGAACAGTTGAGGCAAGAAGCAGAACAACTGCGGAATCAGATTCAGGTAAAACTTTTTCATTTCAAAATTTTAACACTTAGTGCCAGGAATGCACAAAATTTGCCTATTAGTTTATCAGTCTATATTAAATAATTTCTAGTGCTAGAAATGGTCTATTTTTTTTCTCTCGTGAAGTGAGAACTAAGGTCTATTTTTGTTTGTCATGTCTCAAAAGAACTCTTCAAAAATCATTGCTAACAAGTACCTACGTAGAAGAATGGCCTCTATGAAAGACAGACAATTCTCTTTTTATTTACATGCCCAGAATCATAGATTTTTGGTGCAAAACAATAATGTAGATATCGTCACAATATAATATACTAGGAAAATACTAAGGTGTACATTCGATTGAAGAAAATCATTAATCCCAGCACTCTGGGAGGCTGAGGCAGGGGGATCACCTTAGGTCAGGAGTTCGATATCAGCCTGGCCAACCTAGTGAAACTGTCTCTAGTAAAAATTCAAAAATTAACTGGGCATGTGGTGTGCACCTGTAATCCCAGCTACTCTGGAGGCTGAAGCGAAAGAATGGCTTGAATCTGGGAGGCAGAGGTTGCAGTGAGCTGAGCTCGTGCCACTGCACTCCGGCCTGGGTGACAGAGTGAGACTCTGTCTCAAAGCAAAACAAAAAAAAGTAAAACTATTAGTGGCAGAATCAAAACATGTCTGACATCTTTTACTCTTGGAATCAACTCAAAACAGTAAGGAGGATAAGAAACAACTATAGACTCCAGCTTTAATGAAATTAAAAGACTCTAAAGCTTCAGAGCATAATAGGCTAGGGAGGAGTTGCCAAATGCAGTGAAGCAGCACATGGGGAGACTCTGAGGAGGCGTCTGCGTAGGGAGCACTGTCTCAGAGATAGCACCATGGTCCCTTCTTTGGAACAATGGGAACAGATGCTTCCTTGGACTTGGGTAGCACTGAGAAATATCAAGGAAGGCTGAGCTAAAAATGAAAGGATATAGACGTGCCATCTTGTAGGCAGCCTGCTGATAAGCAGGGTGGAGGAAAGAGGCTTTGAGTTGTGAGTAGCTTGGCAGCTGCCTACTACTTTTCCCAGAGAAAAGTAAAGGCTAAAACAACGTACAAGGGTAAGCAGGGAGAATCTCGTAACTTGGAACACAGCTGTGGCCTTTCCCAGTTTGAACCTCTTGCAATAGCTGTTTCTGAAGAATTTGTCCAATTTAAAAGTGAAGAATACAAGAGATCGAGACCATCCTGGCCAACATGGTGAAACCCCATCTGTACTAAAAAATACAAAAATTATCTGGGCCTGGTGGTGTGCACCTGTAGCCCCAGCTACTTGGGAGGCTAAAGCAAGAGAATTGCTTGAACCCGGGAGGTGGAGGTTGCAGTGAGCCGAGGTCACGCCACTGCACTCCAGTCTGGCGCCTGGCGACAGAGCAAGACTCTGTCTGAAAAAAATAAATGAAATAAAATTAAAAAGTGAAGAGTAGGCCAGGTGCAGTGGCTTGTACCTGTAATCCCCGAACTACTCAGGAGGCTGAGGTGGGAGGATTGCTTGAGTCCAGGAGTTCGAGACTGCCGTGAACCATGATCACACCACTGCACTCTAACCATATGAAAGAGCAAGACCCTGTCTCAAAAAAAAAAAAAGAAAAAGAAAAAAAAAATCTATACAAAGATGATACAAGAAAAGAGAAGAAAGGATTAGGAAAAACAGGGATGGTTGAAGAACATTCACTAGAAAAGTGATGATTCTGAATGAAGTCATAACCAGACAGACTTATTGCCAGTAATTTAAGGAAGTTATTTATTTAGATGTGAATAAGAATTCTGAGTTGAAATCTTAGGAATCTGAACAAAGCTTTCAAAACAAAGGAGAGACTGATTTTGAATGGGATGATCGCAGAAGCCTTTGCAGGCTCACCTCTGAATTCGATGTGACTGCATCCACTCAATGGAATTTCTGTTCTCCCTACTTTGTGTCACTTAGTCCAGATGCTGAGGAGGAGCAGGTGACTGGCCAACCATGTGTCCATATGTCCATGTCATTTAATCCTCACGCTGACTCTGTGAAGTTGATGGTGTTACTTCATTTTATAGTTCAGGAAGCTGAGGCTCAGTGAGATTAAATAAGTTGCCCAGGTAACAGATCCAGGATTCAGACCAGGTGTGTTCTGCTGTAACTTAAGGTTGGTTCTCCTAACCTTCATTACTAGTGTCCTTTCCTGTGACCTGTGCTATAGCCATACTAGGCTGGTTCCCTGAACACACATTGCTCTTTCTTATCTGTTACCTTTTATCAAATTGTTCCCTTGGGGAATTATACTACCTCTTGCCCAGTTTTGCTCTTTGGAAATCCTATCCATTGACTCCTAATCCTCCAAGAGGCCTTCACTGGGATTTACCTTTTTTTTTTTTTTTTTTTTTTTTTTTTTTTTTTTTTTTTTTTTTTTTTTTTTTTTTTTTTTTTTTTTTTTTTTTTTTTTTTTTTTTTTTTNTTTTTTTTTTTTTTTTTTTTTTTTTTTTTTTTTTTTTTTTTTTTTTTTTTTTTTTTTTTTTTTTTTTTTTTTTTTTTTTTTTTTTTTTTATTGGAAGGCAGCAAGCCATGGTCAAACAGCCATGGATTCCACTTTTTCATTAATTTGGACAAGGTTCTTAACTTCACTGATGATCAGTATCTTTGCTGTGAAGCAGGAGAACCAGTACTCCACTTTATATGTTTTTGCAGAGAATTAAGTGAAATAGCAGGTAGAGGACTTAGTCTGATTTCAGCAAGTGGCAGTTTTTCACTCATTCAGCATGTTGGACATCTGTTACACAGCTGGCCACGCCTGCCTTGTGTTGTTGTTCCTTGTTCACGTTTGCCCCTACTGTGTGTACCTACATGGAAAATTCTGTGTGTTAATCTCCCTGTCTCACTAGCATCCCAAGCACAATGTAATGGGCATAGGTGCTCACCAAATCATCTCCTCCCATGATTTCATGTAACCACACGTATGTGAAATGCTGTGTACTTTTCTTGTCAGTTTAATTGTCACACCATTCCTTTCTTCCCCCTTCGATCCAGAAATATAATCTAACTACATTTTTACCTAATTACAGTGTAAATATATGGTATAATAGAAATGTAGGCTATTTATTGTAATAGATGATTTGTTTTAAATTTTAAAAAATGCAAATAACTGGTGCTTCTGATTTGGAAAAAAGTATATATCATCTTTCTTTTGCAAAATATCAGATTTTGTGTTTCTTGTGGTGCTGGACAGTATGGAATTCAGGCTTTAATGTAATATTTATTTTCTTTTTTAAATTTTTTAATATTTTTTTGCTAGATCTTACAGTGAGAATGTTTGTTTGTTTTTAATAGAGACAGGGTCTCACTGTTTTGCCCAGGCTGGTCTCAAACTCCTGGGCTCAAGCAATCCTTTCCCCTCGGCCTCCGAAAGTGCTGAGATTACAGGCGTGAGCCATCATGCCTGGCCTTATATTTTGTTTTATAATGGATAATTACGTTCATAAGAGAGAGTTCTCAGTGTAAATAGAATCTCTGCATAATGTAATTTTGCAAGTAACTGCTGCTAACATATTTGTAGAATTATATTCCAACATATTTTAATTTTTGTTACCAATTTTTACTATAGTTCAATAGTTTTCATTTGCAGTTTTTAAATTGTGTTACTAATAGCTCAGTGAAGGCAGAGATTTTTGATGTCTGTTGGAGCCTAGAATAGTGCCTCACACATAGAGTTCAACAAATTTTTTTTAAACAACTGACTAAATTAAAAAGGAAAGAGAGCCTAAACAATGATAGCTCATTTTCATAAAGCTTGAAATAAACCTTCTTTAAGAATTTGGTCTTCAACTCTACCATTTTTGGAACATGTTTCAGGCCTATCAGTGTCATTTCTGGAAACTCTTTTCATTATGGGAAAGTGGGCTATGTTACTCCTTACCAGATGATGTCTTTAAACCCAGTTTGTCTAAGAATGAAAGAATCAAATCATATATTTTGTGCAACTACTTGTGAACACCCTTACATAGAAATATTCCAAGTGGTTATAAATAGGTTGGAAGGGCAGCCCCAAAGATAATGTCTGCCATCCAGTGTCTGCTGTAAGCCGAAGCAGTCATTTTTTCCTTGGCTGACTGGAACAAATTGTCCATTTGGGACATTTTATTAAATAAACATTGCCTTCTCCTTGCTCAGGAGTATGCAAGTACTTAAACACTGTATAGAAAAAACAAAGTTGAAGAGGATACTGCTGCAGCCTTTGTGGAAAAAAGTTCGCCTAGCAGGAAGGATTTAATCACACTTCTTAGTTTTCTATGTATATAAATCCTCTAAATTTGTTTTTAAGTAATAAATTTGAAAAAAAGTTGGTAAGTTTGGTTTAAAATCTTTTTTGTTTATTAAATGTGTTTTTTGCAGTCTTTAATTTTTTGTTAATTTTTGTTTCACTGTCTTCCTTTTGATAATCCTCTTCAGTTTGTATAAAAATTTGAGGTCTCAAATTATTATTGACATCTCTCAAATTTTGTTGAGAAGAGACAAATCCATAGAGAAAGAAAGTAAATTAGTGATTGTTAAGGGCTGTGGGAGAAAAAGGAATTGGGACATACGAGGTTTCTCTTTTCGGGTGATGTAAATGTTCTGTAATTAGTGGTGATGGTTCCACAACATTGTGATACTGAAAACCACTAGATTTTATACCTTAAAATGGTTAAAATGGCTCAATTTAGGTTATGTGATTTTTATATCAATTTTAAAAATTTAGATTATGTGGTACAGTGAAAAGTAAATTTGCAGATCTACATTTTCAATAACAATATCACTTTAGTTATTCCACTGGTTTCTAAATGCATTATAATCTTTCTTTACTTCAGGATGCTCGGAAAGCATGTAATGATGCAACGCTTGTTCAGGTAAATTGTTTTTCTTGATTTCATTTTGGTAACTCACATGAAATAATTTGACACTGAGGCAAATGACATTCAGATTCTCGTATTAGTACTTAATTGAAAAAAGTTAAATGAAATTTCTGTATAAAAGCACTTTGTAATTTGTCAAATGCTATACAGTGTGAGTACTTTTTTTTTTTTTGAGATGGAGTCTCGCTCTGTCGCCCAGCTTGGAGTGAAGTGGCGTGATCTCGGCTCAGTGCAGCCTCCGCCTCCTGGGTTCAGGGGATTCTCCTGCTTGAGCCTCCTGAATAGCTGGGACTCTGTAGTCCGTGCCACCACACCCAACTAATTTTTGTTTTTTAGTAGAGACAGGATTTCACCATGTTGGTCAGGATGGTCTCGATCCCTTGACCTTGTGATCCGCCCACCTTGGCCTCCCAAAGTGCTGGGATTATAGGCATGAGCCACTGCGCCCAGCGCTTTTTAAAATATGTTGTTAAAATAGATGTCTATGGAAAGGTAAATGCTATAAAAATATAGATTCAAGGCCGAGCACAGAGGCTCACACCTGTAATCCCAGTACTTTGGGAGGCCGAGGTGGGAGGATCACTTGAGGTCAGGAGTTTGAGGCCAACCTGGCCAACCTGGTGAAACCCTGTCTCTACTAAAA